TGAAAACGACCATTCTGCCCTGTTCTTGTAATGACCACAGTCAGTCTTATTCGTTCTCATACATTTTGGTCTATTTATTTACTAATTTCAGCAAGCATAATGCCTAGGAAAGAGAGGCTGAGAAAGGAGAAAGAAAGGGATCTACAACAGGCAGCCCAGGGAAGCAGTTCTCTGCTCTCCTGGATGAAAGCAAAGGAAAATGAAGATGAAAGGTCAGAGTCAAGGGCAGAGTCAGGTTCTATTTTAATGTTTTAATGTAACCTGCTCCTTGCAGCTTGAGAATATGTATGTATATAGTTTAGAGTTGGATACAGATTTTATCTTTTTGTGGTGTGATTTTTGATTTTTAGAGAATGTTTTGAAATAAAAGTCAAATTGCATTTAACCTGTGCGTTTTTTTTATTATAAAAAGAAAAGGTTTTCCACATATGCAAAAAGTGCCCTTTTTTCCCCCTGGAGCACTTGCCCCCCAAAATGTCTGTGCACGCCACTGATGCTCAGTATGGAGAACAGAAGCACTGACTGCTATATATTTGCTTAACTATTTTAATGTCATATTGAATGTTTATACTGAGACGCATATTTAGGCTCTGAAGGTGGCATGATGCCTCTGACTATATCCCCTTTGCATGTTCACAACTGTATACAGCCAGAATAAAGCAGTGGACTGAGAGGGTGGACCAAATGCAGACTCCTGTGTCCTTAATCTTCATATATATTTACGCTGACTGGTCAACTCCATGTGCTGTTCAGCTGGGACTGTGGAAATTCCACCAGTACAAAGGGGCATCCATCACAACAGCTCGGTCAGTATTGAACCAATCCTTTTCTTTTTTATTATTATTATTTTTTGACTACAGATGATGCACAAAGACCTCTAAAAACAGGGCTATAGGTTTCATCATTTCAGAGTTCCCTTTAAGACTGTGTACACAGCCAGCTATTTTTTTAAAAAAGATATATTTTTTAAATAAATCTGGCCTCATCGATGTGCGTATAGTCATACTCTGGAGGGTGTGCACATGTCTTATCCATTTTGGCTTTGTGTGTTTTTTATTTTAATAAATAATGAATGGTGGAATCTACATTTTTGTGCACTTGTGGTTAGATATATTTTAGAACCAGGTAAGCACCAGATGATTTTTATCATGTCCTGACATGTATTAGGTGAGACCAGAGATGGAGATTTCAGGTCCAGAGAGTATAAATCCAGACCAAGATTTCATTTCCACCAAAAGTCTCAGTCACAGAGTACTCAACCTCTGGGTGAGACCCATCTCTTCACCTCAAAATAGAAACACTTTCTACTGTTGTTTTTTTAACCTTTGAATCCTAGTTAACCTATTCTTTTGAATGTTAAATTTTAATGTT